GCCCAGCCTTGGCTCTTGCAGCCATTTTAGAAGATAATCAACAGCTAGAAGATTTTCTCTCTCTCTCTCTCTCTCTCTCCCTCCCTCCCTCCCTCCCTGTGTGTCTTTTCATCTCTCTATGTACCTCTGCATATCAAAAAAATAAACATTGCATTTATCTATTTTCATTTTGCTTGAAAGGCATAAAGACATATAAATAGAAACACAGGAAAACAGGGAGATCTTCCATCCACTGGTTCATTCCTCAAATGGATGCAACAGCAAAGAATAGTTCAGACTAAAGCCATGAGTGGAGAACTCAATCTGGGACTCTCACATGGATAATAGGGATACAACTACTCAGACTATCACCTGCTACCATCTATGGTGCACATTAGAGGGAAACTGCAATTGAGATCAAAATCAGAACTCAAGATGGAGGCATCCCAAGCAGTGTCTCAGACAGAGCCAAAGACCTGTTCCTACACCACAATTCTTTTATTTTTATTTTTTGAAAAACAATATTGATTTATTTTACAGGCAGAATTAGAGAAAAGGGAGACAGATGGAGTTGGAGTTGGAGTTGGAGTTGGAGTTGGAGATGGAGATGGAGGAGATGGAGATGGAGGACATGGAGATGGAGGAGATGGAGATGGAGGAGAAGGAGGAGGAGGAGGAGGAGATGGAGGAGATGGAGGAGATGGAGGAGATGCAGGAGATGCAGGAGATGCAGGTGGGGGTGGGGATGGAGGAGGAGGAGGAGGAGGAGGAGGAAGAGGAGGAGATGGAGAAATAGATATATTTTATCTGCTTGTTCACTCAACCAGATGGGCCAAGCAGAAGCAAGGAGCTAGCGACTCATCAGAGTCACCCACAAGGGTGCAGGGACACAAGCACTTGAGCTATCTTCTGCTGCTTTCCTATGTGCATTAGCAGGGAGATGCATCAGAGGTGGAGCAGCTGGGACTCAAACCGGCATCCATACAGGATGTTGACATTGCAGACTGTGGTTTAACCCACTGTGCCATAACATTGGCCCCAAACACTCCACAATTCTTAAGTGGAATAATCAGTGTTGGATCTGTGGCTTCCATTCACCATTATTTTAGTTCTTGGGGTACTGTTGATAACTTCAATAGGGTGACAACTTTTCTCTCATAAAGGCATTCAGCAGTGTACAGCACAAGGTGGGTGGATGTAATAAGTACCACTACGAGGTGAGTGGCCTGCAGGTTATTTTGTTGACTATTTTGGGCATGGTAATAATACCCATGTGCTATGCATGATACTGGTTCTGGGAACGTACATTGTGAAGTGACACCCTTCACCCTCTGCTAAACTATACACAGAAACACCAAGTCCCTACCCTCCCTGCTTACAGAATAAAGTGAAGGGATGAAGTTTTGGTTATACTGCAGTCTGCAATGTGGGCATTCCATATGCCTGCTGGTTCGAGTCCCAGGTGCTCTGCTTCCAATCCAGCTCCCTGCTAATCAGCCTGGGAAAACAGCAGAAGGTGGCCCAATTAGTTAGGTCCCTACCACCTATAAGTTAGACCTAAACTGCTTTCCAGGCTGCAGGCCTTGGCCTGGCCCTGCCACAGCCACTACAGCCATTTGTAGTATGTGAACCAGCTGACGGAAAATTGGTCAGCCCCTCTCCCTCTCCCTCCCTCCCTCCCTCTCTCTAACTCTGCTTTTGAAATAAATACATTAACATTTTTAAAAATTTATATTTATCTTTATTTTATATAAAGGTAAAAAGACTTACAGATAGAAAACACAAAATCAGAGAGATTTTCCATCTGCTGGTTCACTACCAAAAGGCTGTAAGAGCCAGGGCTGTCCCAGGTCAAAGCCAGGTGTCAGAAACTCAGTCTGGGTCTCCTACATGCATAATAGGGACACTATTATTTGTATATTCACCTGCTTCCTCCAAGGTACACATTTTTAGGAAGCTGGGATTGAGAACAGAGCCAGAACTCAAATTTCAGCATTCTGATATGGGATGGAGACATCCGAACATGTGTCTCACCCACAGTCCCAAATACTTGCTCCCACACACTATTCCATTTTAAGAGAGTAATCATTGTTGGATTTGTGGCTTCTACTCACCAGTACATTAGTTCTTGGAGTACTGTTGGTAAGTTTGATTAGGGTGACCATTTTTGCCCTTATATGGGCATTCAGCAGTATGCAGCAGCACATGGTGGTAGGTGTGATAAGCACCACTGTGAGGTAGGTGGCCTGCAGGGGACTATGCTGCCTATTTGGGGCATAGTGACACTGCCCATGCACTATACCTTGAATGGGTTCTGAAAACTTAAAGTGGTGGCACTTTACCCTCTGCTAACATATACCCAGAAACACCAATCCTTCTGTTCCCTGCTTACAAGATAAGTGTAAGGAGGAATTCGGATGCTGGCCTTGTGGTACAGTGGGTTATGCCACAACTTGCAATATCAGCATCCTATATCAGCGCCTGTTAGAGTCTAAGCAGCTCTAATTTCTTTTTTTAAGATTTATTTATTTATTTGAAAGTCAAAGAGAAAGTTACACCAAGTGAAGAGAGGCAGAGAGAGAGAGAGAGAGAGAGAGGTCTTCCATCCACTGGTTCACTCCCCAATTGGCCACAACGGCTGGAGCTGCACTGATCTGAAGCCAGAAGCCTCCTCCGGGTCTTCCCATGCAGGTACTGGGGCCCAAGGACTTGGGCCATCTTCTACTGCTTTCCCAAACCATAGCAGGGGGCTGGATCAGAAGTAGATCAGCCAGGACATGAACCAGCGCCCATATGGAATGCCGGCATTGTAGGCAGTGGCTTTACCTACTAGGCCACAGCACCAGACCCTAAGCTGCTCCACTTTCAATTCAGTTCCCTGATAGTATGCCTGGGAAAACAACAGAAGATGGCCTAATTAATTCGATCCCTGGTATCCTGGCATAGCAAGTTAAGCTGCTGCCTGTGATGCTGGCACCTGATATGAGCACTGGTCCTGGTCTTGGCTTCTCTATTTCCAATCTAGCTGCCTGCTAAAATACCAAGAAAAGTAGAAGATGGCCCAAATAATTATGTCCCTGCCACCCATATGAGAGACTTAAATTGCATTCAAGGACCCAGCCTTTGGCCTGGCACTGGCATGGCCATAATGGCCATTTGGAATATGAACGCTGATGGAAGAGTTCCCTTTATCTCTTTCTGTAGTTCTACCTTTCAAGTCAATTTTTTAAAATTACATTTATCTATTTTCAGGTTTTTTTTGAATGGTAAAAGACATCAAATATAAAAAAGAGAGATCTTCCATCTTCTGGTTTACTTCCTAAATGGGTTCAAGAGCCATGGCTGGCCCAGGACAAGTCATGAATCTGAAATTCAGGTGGGTCTGTTACACTGGTATACAAACTATCACCTAATACCTCCCTGGGTGCACATTAGCAGCCAGCTGGAATTGGCAGCTGAGCTTGAAATCAAACACAGGCATTCCAAAATGGGATGGAGGCATTCCAAGCAGTGTCACACTCCCAATTCCAAACACCTGTCCACACACTATAAGTTGGGTAATCAGTGTGGGATTTGTGACTTCCAATCACCAGTATATTAGTCCCTTTGGTGCCTTTGGTAACTTCTGATTAGGGTGACCATTTTTGCCCTTATAAGGGCATTGAGCAGTGCACAGCACATGGTGGGTGGGTGTGTCAAGTACCATTATGAGGTAGGTGGCCTGCAGCTGATTCAGTTGCCTATTTTGGGCATAGTGAAAGCGCCCATGAACTGTGCATCATATGGGTTCTGGAAATGTACATCAGGAAGTGATGTCCTTCACCCTCTGCTAACATGTACACAGAAGCAACAAGTTGCTTTCATCCTTCCTTATATGATAAAATGTAAGGAGGAAGAAGTACCTGGGCCAGCATCATGGTACAGTAAGGTAAGCTTTTGCCTGGGGCGCCACCATTCCATATCTGCACCATTTCAAGTTCCGGCTTCTCAACCTCAAATCCAGCTCCCTGTTACTGTGCTAGGAAAGCAGTGGAAGATTAACCAATTAGTTAGGCTCCTGCGTGCCATGTGGGAGAGTTAAATGCAGTTTCAGTATCCTGGCTTCATCCTGGCCAGGCCAGACATGTGTAGCGATCATAGGATCATAGGAGTAAGAATTATGTCTATTTATTTGTGTGTGTGTGTGCATTTGTACTTTTAAAATTTCCTTTTTTTAAGTTTTCATTTTATTTGAAAGGCACAAAGACACATAGAAAGAAAGAAAAACAGGGAGATCTTATATCCACTGGTTCACTCTTCAAATGGTTGCAACAGCTAGGGCTGGCCAAGGCCAAAGCCAAGAGTCAGGAAGTTAGTCTGGGTGTGTGATGTGGATCATTGGGGCACAATTACTGAAATATCACTTGCTGCCACCAGGGTGCACTTGATCAGGAAGCTGGAATTGGGAGCAGAGCTGGAAATCAAACCCAAACAATCCAATGTGAGCTGGGGGCATCCCAAGCCAATTGCCACCAACAGCTCCATATATCTGCCCCAACATACTTTTCATAAGTAGAGTAATCACTGTGGGATTTGTGGCTTCCATTAACTATTACATTAGTCCTTGGGTACTGCTGGTATCCCACTTGAGTATCAGTTTCACTCCCAGTTGTTCTACTTCCAATCCAGCTCCCTGGTAATGTGCCTGGGAAAGCAGTGGAATACGACTCAAGTAATTCAGCCCCTGCCACCCATGTGGGAGACCTGGAAGGTGTTTCAGACTCCTGGCTTTGACCTGGCACACACGCATGTGATTTCTCTTTCTCTCTCTCTCTCTCTCTCTAATAAATATAATTACAAAAACAGGAAGAACTTTATGTTCAAAGCTCCATCCTCACTCAGTCCTTTACTTCCATGTCTGCCTAACGGTGGACCTGTTGGTATGATGCTAACCCATTCAGGACCATTTCCCTCCCTTGTCACACACCTGATTCTTCCCTTCATTCCTCCCCCACCATCACAAAACTCACAAGAAATGAATCTTTCACATCAGGTTTCTTTTTATTTGTATCACCATATCACCATCACATTGGTGAAAAATTCAGTGTTTACATGATTGGCCACGTAACATTAGCAAATATTTCTCAGTTACCCTGGCCATCACTTGAAACTGTAGAGTTCTCCACATTCTTTTTTTCTTCCTTGGGGTCACTTTTATTGAGCTTTTCATTCAGTCGATGATAATGGCCAAATAGTGTTGTTCCTTTGGTCTTCTTAGTTTTCTTCACAGGAGTGCTGGTCTTCTCACGAACTTTCTTATTTGGAGTCCCCTGAAGTGGTCTTTTTGCCTTTCCTGTGGTCTTCAGGCCCTTAAATGACAACAGAGAAGTCAGAAGGGCATTGATTAAAGATGAGGTATGCGTGGGTAAGGGTTTCACGAGAGCGTGTAGACTGGGGAGGGGGATTTTGCCAGGCAAGGAAACAGCAAGAATGTTGAGGGAGATTGAGGGAGAAAATATCAGTGGGGAAAGTGGGGGGGAGCTTAGTTATGGTAATCTTACCTTGCCAACACCTCTGGATTTAGACTGATATGGGGTCTTCACCTTCGGTTTTGTACTTGCTGTTGGCTGTTTCATATTCACACCAGACTCCTGTGCCTTCTGTACCACTTTACCCATAATGAAGGTAGTCAGTCTACTGCAGTTTATGATTGTCCTATATATACACTTCCCAGACAATGAGTGGCCCCACCCTTCATTTTTGATTGTCCAGCCAGGCACACTGCAGCCAAACATGGCTAAAAGGAGTTCCACAGACACCACAAAGCAATATAGGTGCTTTGTAAGGGGAATGAGGTTGAGGTAAATGCTGGGGATATGAAGAAGTGGCTTAGACATCAAAATCTACCAGTATTGATCCATTTCTGGAACCCATATGATGTGCAGTGCACATGTATATCCCCATGCCCAAATTAGGTAATGCTCACCAAAAGGCCCACCTACCTCACAGTGGTACTTGTTACACCCACCCAACCATGTGTTGTACACTGCTGAATGCCCATATAAGGGCAAAAATGGCCATCATATTAAAAGTTGCCACCAGTACCCAAGGACTATTGTACTTGTGAATAGAAGCCACAAAATCCACACTGATTAGGCGATTTATGAATTGTGGAGTGGGGGCAGAAGTTTGGTACTTTGGATGAGACACCTGTTGAGAAGACTCCAATCCATATCCAAATGACTTAGATTGAGTTCTGGCAATGCTCCTCTTTCCAGTTTCCCACTAATGTGCACCCTAGGAGGTAGCAGGTGATAGTTTCAATAGCTATGCCTCAATTATCCATTGCAGAGGTTCAGAATGAGTTCCATATTCCTGGCTAAGGCCTTGGCCTTCGCTGGTTGCTAGAGTCATTTGGGGAGTGAACAAGAGGATGGTGGATCTCCTAGTTTCTCTATCTATAAGTCTATCTGCCTTACAAATAAAATGGAGTAAATGTAAATTGTTAAAAATATTTATTTATTTATTTGAAAAGCAGAGTCACAGACAGAAGGAGAGAATTGCTACTCTCTGAATGGCAGCAACAGCCAGGGTTGGGTCAGGCCAAAACCAGGATCTGGGAACACCATTAAGGTTTCCCATGTGGGTGGCAGGGGCCTAACAACTTGGGCCAACTTCTATGCTTTCCCCGGCACCATAGTGGGCAATGGATTTGAAGAACAGTGTTCTTGAAATGGTGCTCGTAGGGAATGCTGGCATCAGAAATAGCAGCTTATGCTGCTATGCAAGGACACCAGCCCAAACTTCCTGTTGCCTTTTATCCAAAAGCAGGGAAGCGAAGAACTCAGTGTCTCTGTGTATATTTTAACAGAGGGTAAAAGGCATTACTTCCCGATGTATGAATCCAGAACCCATTCAAGTTGTAGTGCAAGGGCAGTATTCCCATGCCCCAAATAGGCAACATAACCACCTGCAAGCCAGTGACCTCACAGTGGTGCTTATTACACCCGCCCACTGCTGCTGTACACTGCTGAATGTCCTTATAAGGGCAAAAATGGCCACCATATCAAAAGTTGCCAAGAACTAGTATAATGGTGACTGCGAGCCACAAATCCCACAATAATTAGTCCACCTACAAATAGCGTGTGGGGGAAGGTGTTTGGAGCTGCAAGACACTGCTTGGGATGCCTCCATCCCATTTTGGAGTGCTTGTATTTGGTTTCTGGCTATGTTGACATTTCCAGCTTGCTGCTGTTTTTTACCCAGGGAGGTAGCAGGTGATGTTTTGTGTAGTTGTACTTGTGTTATCCATGTGAGAGACCTAGACTAAGTTCCTACTCCTGTCTTTGGTCTTGACAAGCCCTGGTCTTTGTAGCCACTTATGTGTGAACCAGTAGATAGAAACTCACTATTTCTGGTTCTATATGTCTTTCTGCCTTTCAAATAAAATGCAAACAGGTAAATGCAATCCTTTAATGATATTGTTCTATTTTAAATGCCGAGTTAAAGAGAGAAAGAGACAACAAGACTGAGAGAGAATGGGAGAGAGAGACATTGCTCATGGACTTGTTCACTCCCCCAGTGGCCACAATGAGTTGTGCTATGCTGGACTGAAACTTAGTATCTGAAACTCTGAGTCTCCCAGTTGGTTTGCAGGACCCAAGCCACCTGGGCTATGTTTTACTCCTTTACCTAGCACATTGGCCATGATCTGTTTTTGGAAGTAGAGCATCCAGGATTTGAACAGGCACTCATTTGGGATGCTAGCATCATATGTAAGGATTAACTCACTATTCAACAGAGCTGGCCATGACAAATATAAATTTTAAAAAGAGACTTGGAGTGAATATACACCAGGAATTATCCATCTTGTGTGTAAGCTATAAAGAGTATCATTGTCCTCATAATTTTAAAACAACATACTTCACTTTCAAATAAATTTTATTTTTACTTTTGGCAATGTCTTAATCCTTGAATAGAATATCACTTTTAAGTGGCTAGATTGAAATTTTCTCGACATATGATAAACTATAGGTGCTTTTAAAACCTATAGTTTACTAAGTTTTATCATATGCATACACTTATTCAATCACCATTTGTGAGACTGAAGAAATATTTTATACCCTAACGTTTCCTCATTCTGTGTCTTAGCCTCCCTTATATTAATATAACAAAATACCTGTCACTGCTTATTCTATAAAAATAAAAAGAGTTTGATTTAGCTCACAGTTATGGAGGCTGTGAGTCCAAGATTGGACATAGACCTCAGGTAAGAACCTCTGGCTATATCATAATATGGCTTCTGGCATCACAAGAAGGAAGCATGTGCCGGAGAGATGGTAGGGGTGAGGGCCCACATTGTGGCACAGCAGGTTCAGCCACTGCTTCCCACACCAACATCCCACGTTAGAATATCATTGGAGTCCCAGCTGCTCCACTTCAGATCCAGCTCCCTGCTAATGTGCCTAGGAATGCAGTGGAAGATGGCCCAAGTCTGCAGAGACTGGGGGAATAAACCAGCAGATGCAAGGTATCTTTCCTCTCCTCTCCTCTCTTCTACCTCTCCCTTTCAAATAAATCCACGAATAATTCTTTCATGGGAATTAATCCACTCTAGTGAGACTCTAAGAAATCAGATTGAATGCCTTTGTGATGATGAGTGTGAATGAATCACCACCCACTAGGCTTAACTTTTTAAAGGTCCCACCTTTTCTCATCACTGCTACATTTGGGACTAGGCCTTAACACAAATTCTGGAGGGGATAAATCATAGTGGAACCATAGCATGCTCCTTGAAAATTCTTCTCTCTTGCCCCCTCACCATATCCCCACTCCCAGACAATCACTTATTTATAGTCACTGTCAATTAGTTTCCATTTTCTACAGATTTATGAAAATGGAATCACAAAATATGTACATTTTTGTTCAGTTTCTTAGACCAATTTTCTTTCTCAAAACATTTTTTGCTGGTCTAATTTCTACAAGATGTCTGTGGTCAGTAAGTTGTGCATGTTTCTGTATATAAGGTGTAAAACAGCACATTTTAAACACTTGTCCTTTAAGAATTATTGTATTATATGAGCAAATTAATGTACAGTATTTCCTGTTCTATTGTTACAGAACCATAACTACTGTTCCTTTCCCAAATAAGTGCGTGAAGCTATGGCATTGCTTGTAGTGCACTTCAGGTATGTTTACATTAATGCCCAAATCAGTCAAATAAAGTGCAACTGGCAAGGTGTAAATATTTGTTGGAGAATTTCAATTTTCACTTTATCTAAACCAAATATTTTGCTGAAATTTAACTATATCTTTACAATTGAAATTTATTCTTTAATTGTTCAATATTTAACACAACAGAACAATTCAGAAAACATTAAATTAGTTGGATAATTTATTATTTGACTAAATTTTACCTTTGGCAGGCTTTCTGGTTTGCTTTAAATTCTCTCATGTTTTACTGTCATGATTTTATACAAAATGCCCCATATAAGAAGATGATGCTATGTTGTTTTTCTGACAATTGGTATTTCAGGAATGTTAATGAAAATGTGCTCTTCCTTTGTAAAAATCTTACTTATTTTAAAGGCAGAGAAACAGAAGAAGGAGAAGGAGAGAGCTTCCCAAATGCCTACGATGACTAGGGTTCAGCCAAGTCAACGTCAGAAGCCAGGAACTCAATCCATATCTCTTAAGTGGGTGACAGGGACCCAAGTATTGAGCTATTGCCTACTACCTCAGGCTTCACATTAGCAAGAAATTGGAATCAGGAGTAGGGCTAGACTTGAAACCAGGCTCTCCAATATGAGATGTGGGCCTCCCAAACAGCATCCCAACCACTGAACTCAATAGGTGTGCCTGAAAATGTGTATTCAACACATAAGTTACATCATTATTGGGAGGCACATTCTTTCTTAAAATAACTAATTTGTCTGGCTTCTTTTATAAAGATACCTTTATTTTTTGAAAGGCAGGGGGAAATAAAGGGAGTGACACAGAGAAAGCTATCTTCCTTCTGTTGGTTTTGTTTTATAGAGGTTTATAAAGTATATGTATTTAAAATGTGCAATATAATTAGGTATGGCTATATATGTGTGTGTATACACACACACATACACAAAAGAGCACACAAAGCTGACAAACCATCACTTCAATTAAAATAAGAACAAATGAGGCGGAGCCAAGATGGCGGAATAGTGAGGGCGCGCACCGATAGTCCGGGAAAATTTAGTTTAATAAAAGGGGAGTTACGGTAGCCGCAGAAAATAGAACCAAACAAAAATTGCAGGGGAAACCCTTCTGAATGGAGCAGGCGTGAATCGGACGAACTACTGGGAGAACAAGGTCGCCCACCGCACGGAAGCAAAGTCGCGGGACCCAGCCGCAGAAGCCCCAGGGTCTGCGCGACAGTGCTCCAAGGAGAGTGCACGCCACACAGAAAACAGCGGGGAGACTTGAGACGCTCAGGGCTCCGAGTCCACACATCGGCGCTGGAAGGGGAGGTGAGCTCAATAACCCGAGACATTGGTGGGGAAACGGGGGTCAGAATCTAGAGGGGGGCCGGAAAGTGCAGCAAACTCACTACCGGAAAGAAGGAAAAAAAAAAGCTTCGGGGTTTCTCTTCCTCCTAACCTTGCAAAGGTTACAAGGCTGCCAGACTTGAAGAATTCCCAAGAGACAAAGAGCAGGCCTCCTCTTTGGATTTACATATCAGTGGGGGAGAGT